GGGGGGGGGGGGGGCTTCCGCTTAGCCCCGGAAAATTTTCGAAATTTTAAAACATCAAGTATTCAGTTCGAATCGATTTGGTCTTGAATCGCGAATGAAATCGCTAAACTTTAGAAAAATTGTTTGTCCCAAGCGACGTCTTGGAGGGTCCGATGCCCCCCTCCCTCTCTTCAGCGGCGATTACCGCTCAAAGTTTTGAGTTTATTTTACATTTTAGCGTCCATTCCGTCAACGTGCTCCGACCACATTCCTCTCCTCGCTACATCTGGCACCCCAAAAGCATCCCTGATGGACTCGCTGGTCTGCCGATCCCAAAGTATAAAACCCGTTAATCATGAAAATGACAATTTAATAAATCTCCAACGAAAAACAATAAAATTTTAAGATAAAATTCAATAATTTTAACAAGATTTAAGATAGGCACGAACCTACCTTTCATTTTTCAAAATCTGAAACATTTATCAAAGGGATTCAAAACTCCCATAAAATGCACGATTTAGAGGTTCGGGTGTAAAAACTAGTTCCGGACAGAGGAATCAAAGTCTGAAGTATGCATAGGGAGCATCGTCGTCTCTCAGGGAAGCATTGCACCTTCTTGTCAGTCCTTCCATCCTTTCCATTTTTCTATGAGAAATAAATGGCTCATTACTCATTCCGTGGTATCGGTGTAGGAAGTCATTTCGGTTTGTAATAAAAGTTCAATTTTCGCCAGTGCTTGCTTTGAATTTTCTTTGTCGGGTTTCGTTGAGTTTTTCCCTGCTCTGTTTATCTTAAACCGTCGAGCATTGTTTCGAATCCATCAAGCGCAGTTAGCATATTCATTGTTTAAGCTTATCGAAAATCGTTTGCTTACATTTGAAAAGAATAATGGTCTTATCGGATCAACAAGTTTAATATAAGTATCGAACAAAACCTTCTTTTTTTCTCTTTTAAAAAAAAATATTTAGAAAGGACTAACAGAACTACCAATGCTACGACTACGTACTTTTTTTAATTAAAAAATTTAGGATGGATGAAAAACAAAAATAAACTGATATAATGATAAAAAAACAACAATAATTATG